AATTCCAGAAAGTCCACATCTGTGCAGATTGTCTGACAGAATTTCAATGGAAACTGAATCAAAAGCCCCCTTAATGTCCAAGAATACTGAAGCCAATTGCTCCTTGTGCGCAAAGGCCAGTTGAATATCTGTGGAAAGCAGCGCTAGACAATCGTTTGTTCCTTTGCTCTTGCGGAACCCAAATTGTGTATTTGATAGCAAGTTATTTGATTCGACCCAGTGATCGAGTCTCCGAAGGATCATTTTCTCCAACAATTTCCTAATGCACGAAAGCATCGCAATCGGACGGTATGAGTTATGGTCAGACGCTGATTTGCCAGGTTTTTTAATGGCTATTACTTTGACCTGTCTCCATTCAGGCGGTACAATGTTGTTTTCTAGCAAGGAATTGAATAAATCTAGCAAGCGTCTTTTAGCGATATCTGGGAGATTTTTCAGAAGATTGAATTTAATCATATCGCTTCCCGGTGAGGAGTTGTTCGATGAAAGAAGAGCCATAGAGAAATCCAGCATTGAGAATGGTCTATCCAGAGAGCCGCCACTAGGAGACGCTTCTCGAAGAATATTTTGTGCTGGAACTGAGTCCGGACAGACCTTTTTAGCGAAATCGAATATCCATCGGTTGGAGTATTTTTCACTCTCATTGAAAGATGAGCGGTTACACATGTTGCGAGCCACCCTCCACAAGGTGTTCATTGAGGTTTCTCGTGAGAGTCCCTCGACGAAATTGCGCCAATAACCGCGTTTTTTTGCTTTGATTAATTGTTTCAGCTTTGTCTCAAGCTTTGAATATTCCTCGAAGTAAGTGGAGGTTTTGTGTCTACGAAAAGCTTTGAAAGCATCAGATTTTTCTACATACAATTTTGTGCATTCTTCGTCCCAACCAGGTGTGGCTGGTCTCCTTTTAAAGGGTGCACTTGGAACTTTTCTTTTTTGTGCTTCCAGTGAGCTTTTGTAAATCAAATCGGCTAGGAATCGATATTCTTCCAATGGTGGAAGCGCATCTATTGATTCGACACCGATTGTCACCGCCGTTGCATATTTCTGCCAGTCGATGTTCCTTGTAAGATCAAATGGAACCCGAGATGGTTCTGCAGAGTGAGGGCCACACTTTATTGAAATGATGATTGGCAAATGATCGCTACCATGGGGATCATTGATAACCTTCCACTGACAATCCAATGATAGCGATCTTGAACACAAAGATAGGTCGAGTCGGCTTTCTCGAGCCGGAGGTTTTGCTATACGTGTCGCTTCACCACTGTTCAAAATAGTCAAATTGAAATCGTCACATAAATCGTAAAAAATAGCCGCTCTATTGTCGTCATATAGATCGCCCCACCCAGTACCATGGGAGTTCATATCACCCAGAATTAATACTGGGGATGGAAGAATCGAAACTAGATTCCAGAGTTGACTACGGCTAATGGAGGTTCTTGGAGCTATGCAAAGATCTTTGTTCTTCACATTTATTTGGCAAGCAACGATTTCGACGCCGGATAGAGCAGGAAGGGAAATTTTGTAGAAAGGGTAGCACTTTTTGATCCCTAAAAGTACTCCTCCATAAGAATCGTCTCTATCCAGGCGTATAATGTTAAAATCGTGGAAGTTGAGTTCTTTATCGGAAGAAAGCCATGTTTCACAGAGAGCAAATATATCACAATCAGAATTGTGAAGTAAAAATTTGAACGAGTCTAGTTTAGGCACTAGACTACGGCAGTTCCACTGTAGCACAGTGATCATATCTTCAACCTCGTTCGACGAATTATCCATCGAAAGATATGATTGATGCAAGGAGGGGCCATGAAACAGTCAATTGCTTAAGATATGATTCTAACGTTGGAAGCAAGGCAGAAACTAAGCTTCTTAGAGGGTCTTGTATGTTGAACATGTTTAATATGAATTCCACAATGTCCGAAAAAGCTAGCAAACCTCGTTCGGACTTGGATTTCTTTTGAGAAGTTTGAGGAGCAGCTTTTTTATTTTTTTTTATCTTTGTTGGGCAATGGCGGAAAATTCATGCTGCATCCAGGGATTGGATCAACAGGAGCCTTCGGTTTTGTTTTTTCATCCCCATTACCCTGGGAATTTGGCAATCGTCTGGAGGTGACTTTAGTTTTCTTACGGCGCACTTTCGGGGAGGGGCATTTTCTTTTTGAGGAACCGTCTATTTTTGAAGGTGCGTGTACCACCGTAGAATCCCCTTCATCGGATGAGTCAGAGTCCGATTCTTCAACTGACAAAACCGAAAATTGGTTTGCGTCTTGGACGGCTGATGCAGCCTTCAACATTTGAGCATATGTCTGCTTGGAGCGTCCAGAGATTGAACGCTGCACTTTATCGGAGTGCTGTTTGTACATCGGGCACTCCTGCAAGGGGTGAGGATTCTCGCCACAGTAAGCGCATTTTACTGATTCTTTGTGGCAAGAATCCTCTTTGTGGTTTTCACCACATTTGCCACAACGAGTTTTGTTGCCGCAATGGCTGGCCGAGTGTCCCAGCCTTTTGCAGTTGGTACAATTATATACCCTCTGTACAAACAGTCGCACCGGAAAAAAAGCACCATCAATTTTAACAAAGTTTGGGAGAACTGAACCTGCGAAAGTCACCCGGAACGAGTCTGAATGTTTATAAACTTTTTTACCGTCTAGCAAAGATGCTGAATGCAGTTGCCTTACATCCAGTATCTTCACTAGCGCGGTAGCGAATGTCGAGTTTTTAAAAGTTCCCGAGGCATGTTTCAAGTCCTCGACAGTCAGACTCGCGTCGGAGACCACGCCTTCTATCTCCACATCTCGAGAAGGGATGTAGATGTTGTACTCAACACTAAACAACTCGTGATCAGCAATTTTATTTGCCACATCATAAGTCGGTGCTTCTACACGCAGTTTGTTGAATCTTTCTTTGTGTACCAAGATTCCCGGATACTTACGCAGCAAATCTCTCGTTATGTCGAGAGTTTTCAAAGGTTTATTTTTGGGCCGAAAAAAGACAACCCATGGTCCTTTCGAAGACGGTTCATAGTATCTGGTTCGCGTAACGTAGGCATCGGAAGATGCCATAAGTGTTGCGCAAAAGCGGTGCGCAACCACTTAAGAAGGAAAACAAAAAATAAAACCTTCACTAATTAATTAATTTTAATTACTAGTAATTAAATTTTTTGCCCGACGTACGAACAAATCAAAAAGAAAAAAAAAAAAATCGAAACAAAAAAAAAACTTATATCTACTTGCAAAAAGTTGTCTCACTATGACCCATACTCCCCTACCAGGGGTGAGAGACAGAGTCACGCGCCACGAGGCAAAATTAAACTACAATAGGGAGGCAATGGACTTGCAAAATGTATTGTCTAATACTTATGCCGGTTGTAAACAACCTATCAGCCGTTGCAGCTAGATGGTCCGTTTGCTGCTGCTGGTGGTGATGATTGGTGTTGGTGGGTCGGCACGATGATGAAAAAATGGCTTGACGACCGGATGGATTACCGGGGTGGATTAAAGCTGGATGGCAACTCCAAGGGGCTCGGCCCATGGAATTCCACTTCCTCTGTTGCACACTGGTCACTTGGGGCACCCAATGGGGGGGTGAAAAAACCGCTCGGGCGGAAAAAACACCGAAAAAACTAGATGCCGCGCGACTGAGACCGGGACGTTGTTAACCGACTGAGTGTTCAACTAGGAATGTGAGGGCGTATGTTGTTCCATTTTCTTCTGTTCCTGGGAGAGGGAAAAGGAAGGGGTTGAAATTCGAACATCCAGATAGTGTCAAAAAGCACAGTGAAGGATACATTTATTCATACAAACAGGCCGCCATTACCTACACGGAGATGAAAAACTACCCAAAATTAAGTACTTTTTCCTCAATTCCGGGGTTCAGCCCAATAACCCAAATTTGAGTAAATCGCATATAGTAGTTTCCATTTAACACCAGCAAAAAAATAACCTACTCTTAAGTATATTATACCCAAAATTAAGTTTAATTCACGTAAATTTGAGAATATGTAATTTACTCAAGAGTAACTTATTGGGCTGAACTATATCGTTGGGTCGAATCTCTTGTTCCTTTTTTGACAACAATAACGAGTGCAAGTGAGAGGCTGAAGTCAATATTAAGTAAAAAGAACTCAAATTTTGGGTAGTATTTTTTCTCCGTGTAGCATGGAAAGCTGGATATCAAGAGCAAATTTTCATTACGTCGAATGTAACAAAGGTAAACAAAGTCGAGCTATCAGTGTCAATCGATGCTCCTGCTATTACACTATATATACTGTCCGAATATTGGATCACATCCCATTTTTAAATTTATTTACCAGTCGAATTGCTTTTTGACGTAATCACCTTCCGATCAAAATAATTTTCGATGTTACTTAAGTCACCCGATTTCTATGGAGATGCCGTTTGCCTTAAGTAACAGCACTGAGAAACCCGTGAAAAGTGTACTTTCGTCGTTTCGCTTTCTCATTATTAAAGTGAATAAATCGAACTGTTTGTTGCTAAGATGATTTCGGTGGTCCTAAAATGATGAATGGGCTGCACGTAAGGAGACGTAATTGATAATTCTCCCGAATATCCTGGTAAATACACTTTGACTTAAGTAACAATAGGGGCCACCAAACGACGTATAATAACTTTTGACTCAAAAACCAGTATTTCTTAGCATGAAAGCTAGCGATTTGCCTTTGTATGATTAAAACCCGGCTAAATATGTTAAACATTGCTATCACTTTAAGATTATATGTGTTTAATTGGAAATAGGAATAACTTTTCGGTCATCAAAACAAAACTTTATTTTTCTCGGATCGGTGCGAATGTTACTTACGACATAATGAAAATTTGCTCTTGATATAGTGACAAAGCTGTATCACCATTTATATACCCACCATGAGCCCCACTGAAGCCACACATGTTGAGTGAAAGGAACTCAATTTTGGGTATTTTTTTCTTACCGTGTGAGTTAATTTCGATGGGCGTGAAACGTAAACGTAAACAGAAATGAAATCATCGACATCGGTTGACTAAGAAAAAAGTAGTGTCTTCCGGCCTTTTTCGTTCAACTGAATCAGCATGGACGTTTTGGATACATACTACAATAAGGAAGAATATGTCGAGACGGCTTCCGGTAACAAAGTCAGTCGGCAAACCATTCTTTGTGGTTCGCAAAACATTGTTCTCCATGGGAAAGTGATTGTCCAGAGTGGAGCCATCATTCGGGGAGATTTGGCTGCCGTACGAACTGGTCGGTACTGTGTAATCTCGAAAGGATCGGTAGTGCGACCACCGTACAAACAATTCAGTAAAGGTGTGGCATTTTTCCCGCTGCAAATTGGGGACCACGTCTTTATTGGGGAAGGAGCGATTGTATCTGCTGCTTCCATCGGATCCTACGTCTATATAGGCAAGAATGCTGTTGTAGTGAGTTTCACTGTAAATTAGGGTGAACAAAATCATTTTTTTCATTACATTTATTCCTAGGGACGGCGCTGCGTTCTAAAGGACAATTGTGTTATCGAAGATGGAGCTATCCTGCCTCCGGAGACAACAGTTGCCAGCTATATGAGATATACTGTCGACGGGAAGATAGAGGGTGGCCAAGGTAATCCGGACTTTGTTCCACATGCAATGCAGGACCTTATGGTGGAATATACGAAATCTTACTACGAACATTTCATCCCAGCTAGTGGAGCTTGACGGATGAAATAATTATCCGGGAACAAAGGATTTACCTTACATATACATCCCTTATTTATGAAAACATTTATTAATAATATATAATTATGAATTACCATTTCACATCGCCATTATTCTGATAGTTGTATGACTTTATTTGATTTGCCACACGACTAGCAGAATAGGGAGGATTGCTGAAATTTCTTTTTGATGAAAATAGTTATCTTGTGGTTGTACTGCACTTTATTGACGAAGGTATATGGTATTCATAGAGTACATAAAGATCAAATCAATAGAACCAGAGAATCGCTGATTACGCGGAAACTGTTCCGACGAGGTTTTAGAAAATTTGCATTGTCCGCAGAATCAATCAATATTATTTCTTTCCGGACTTTTTGATTCCACCAGCGCCCAAAGGACCACCTTTGGCAGCTTTCTCCTTAGCAGCTTCCAGCGCCTTGTTCTGTTCCTTCTGCTTCTGCTTGAAGGCCAAATCTTCATCGTCTATCTCTTTGGTGTCCTTCTTCGGTTGCTTCAATGGCTTTTTCTTACCTCCGTCTCGACCAGACATTTTTCAGTTCTGGAAATATAAATATGCAGAACTACATGATTTATTACTAACTTTTTAAAGGATAACCATACCTCTGTTAAATTTTCCTTAAATATGAAATATAAAAGTTAGCACTTCAAAAATGCTTCCCTGATACTTATACGAAACACGAGAGTTGAGGAGCTAATTGAAAGAATGACCGCGAATGTCAGCCACATGAGTTTTGACAATCTGATATACACGCTATATCTAAACTACCCAAATTTGAGTAGGATCTACTATATCGATCAAAAGTAAAGTTTTTTCACTCTAAGCTACGATTACCTAAAATTATCGGTATTTTTTACCAATAAAAATCGTTACTATTTACTTTAAATATGCTATTTTTTACCATCAATTACGACATTTTTAACTTTAATTATTGGTAAACCATCACGAAACGAAAATTAATTATTTAATTCATGTGTTTCACTTATACATTTTTGCCAAAACCTCAGCCTTATACCACAAGCCAATATGGTCTTGTTGTTGCACTACCAGGAAAAAAGCACTTCAAAGGATTCAGAACAAAGTTCTGAAAATGATTTTGAAGTTGCCTCCCTGGTACAGTACTACAGAAGTACATAGAATTTCGAATGTTGAGACTTTAGAACAAATGTCCAACAACATAATTAATAATTTCAGGCAAAAATCGTTGCAATCCTCAATTGCAACGATTAATTCCCTTTATACTTAGATAAGATTTAGTTATAGTTTTTAGTTTTAAGATATCATATAATATCAAATAAAGAGTTAAAAAAAGGGAGCTTAGAAGCAGAGGGGTGAAGTCAATTCTCTTCATAGATTTCCTCTTTTGATGACCATGGCTTCACTAACCTGTTTCGCACTATTTCTGCTAAGCTCTTCTATCATTCAGAATCATTCAGAACAACAAATGTATCAATGAATGTGTTTGCGTCGAGTTATTAACGAAACAGGAAGTCGATGAAGAGAATCGATCAAAATCACTTGCACCCCTCCTTAAAACATTGATTACAACTCTGGAGAGCATATTGTGTGGTCTTTGAGGGCGCGTGGTTCTGAATATGGCGATGAGTGTGCAAAATGTTACACAATTACATCCTCTCTATTCGCACACGCCCGAAGAACGGAGGCGAATGCCACTTCGACTTTTTTCGTCTACTAACGACTCTCTGATGACAGTGTTGGGGAAGCTGCATATGCATGTATGTAATTGGTGGATTTGTTAGCTAGTTTGACGCATTTGGACAATGCTTGACATTTACCACTTTTTCAATAGTTTCTTGTGGATTGGTGATAAAATTATTGAAATTGGTCCAGGGGCAGCTGAGTTATTAACGTTCAAAATCTTTCATAATTTCGTTACATGTTCCATTTTCGGTTTTCACAAAGTGTACCGCCATATAAAAATCACAGACGTAGTCCTACGTCAAAATACCCATTTTCGCTAAAAGCGCCCCTCCTCATTTAATGGGTAAACTATGGTTTACTCATTAATGGGTAAATGGGAGCGCTGTCAATAAATTGGCGTTTTTTTTTACCCATTTTCTTAAATTGCGTTTTTCGTAAAATGGGAAAAAATACATTTTTTTTTCAAATGGAGTCCGCCTTGATATAAAAAACATTCTAATACATTGAAAATAAATGCAGGTGTTCCGATCAAATTTTATTACACGAAATATTATAATACCATATTGGATAAAACTGTATTGAAGAATCAAAGTGACGATTGACTTACAGATGGCGAGTCGGTGAAAATGGTAATGAAGTTTTAATATCAGCCAAATTGCATGACATTTTTTTTTGGTACATCATCATTTTTGTATTTGCGGATCTTAAAACTAGGTGTCGCATAACCAGTTTTAGCTTTGCTTTGATTCGCCAATTGACTTATCCGTAAGCCTCTCCAACGTTTCGGAATCTAACTTTTTCCGGAGATCGTCCATTTTCGCTAACAAAGCTGCGGACAGTAACTGTTTGCATTCCCAATGAGTCGGTGACGATTTCGAAGTGTTTTTTCACCCATTAGTGGGTAAAAAAATCTACCCATTATATTTTTCACCCATTTTATGATTTGAAAATTCCCCCATTTTTGGCAGCTGCGTACATGGTTTGAAAATGGGTATTTTTTACCCATTAATGGTTTTTCGCGAAATACCGTGTACTTTCCATAGAGATTGCTAAAGTATGATCAACAATCAATACGAAACTAACGATTTTAAATTGGCTCACCACTTTAGTAGCCTATTGGTCCCAAGCAAACGATTAACGTACCCTATTCTAGTTGAAATTCTATTACTACACTATGTTTGTTTTGATTCGCTATGAAAGTTTGACAGATAACATCAGGGGTGTGAAGATTCATGCAGAACATGCAGGGGTGAGTGAAATAGCTTGGGACTGCTTGGGACCGTTGTTCTGGTACTGAGTGAGCCAAAAATAATAATGATTTTCTTCGGGACCCAGTGGTCTTAGAGTTACCTCTATGGTATGATTGTGTCAGTGATTTGTTTTCACCAGGAAAATTTTCCGCTATACACAACAAAAAAAGCTGTTGAATATGACATCGAAACTGCTGCAACCAGGTCAATCCATCGGTTGTGTAATATCACATTGTACGATGTACATCGATTTTGCGAACAAAATTACATCCATTGATGTAATATTGTATCTGCTTTTTGCTATTACATCATTATTTCATACATCAGCTTGAATTACGTTGATCGATTTTACATTTTGTTTTGCTGTGTAGAGCTTTTTGACATTTAATCGGCACACACTACTGCACCATTTAAATCGAATGAGTGCGAGCAAGAGGGAAACAGATTAGTGGGATAACAAACCGTCCATTCATCCATGTGCGCTAGATAGAGAAAGACAATTAAACGTCAAAAAAGTCTAAGAAGTTTTTTTTCCCGATGAAAACATTTTGCGTATACGTATACGTGACGTAGTGTGCGTACGATAAACGTCGGCAATATCTATAAACGAATAAAGGCCCAAGCGCAATGACAGTGGAAGCGATACGTCAGTGGCAGCGGAAAATCCCGATCTGAGTAAAGGCCCTCGCACATTAGATCCGGATCGGACGCGTTGCGGCAAAGTGACAGCTAAATCTATTTTCTAACTGTCAAATTTACGTCAACGCAACGCAAACGGATCTAATGTGGGTGGCCCTTAAGCCTACTTGTCAGATTGAAAACTAGTTAGAACCTAAGAGAAGAGGTGACAATACGGGGGCGAAAATGAACCACTTTTCTGTAAAACGTGAACCAGCTCCTGATTGGCCGATTTCATGTGCGTATGATAGAGATAGAGATAGATAAAGATAGAGATAGAAATAAAAGAGGAAGAAGCCAATTGTCACCTCTTCCTCTTAGGTTAGAACCAAATCGACTTCGGTTAGGCATCTTGATGTCATTTGTGGTTGGTACCGGCCCATGTGAGTAGATGAATGGGTGCGATATCCTACGCAGGTGCGGAAGCTGCCTTCCTGCATATTCGATTGCCGTCAATGGATGGCAATCGATGTCCGTCGGTGATTGGCACTAGAGCTTTTTGACGTTTAATCGGCGCACACTACTGCAACATTTAAATCGAACGAGTTCGAGCAAGAGGGAAACAGATTAGTGGGAAAACAAACCGTCCATTCATTCATGTGTGCTAGATAGAGAAAGACGATTAAACGTCAAAAAGGTCTCTAGATTGCGGAACAGAGACCGACGTTAAATATAGGAAAGAAGAAGAAGAAGAAGAAGAAGAAGAAGAAGATGTCTTTTGTGACAACTGTCAAACTTGCCGACGGTAAATAAAGGAAAGATAAACTGTCAAACTTGCCGTTTCCGTTCAGCTTCCACCCACATTGCCTTAACATTCCCATTTGAATAGGAAATCAAGCAAAGATGTGGCTGTTCTGCTTTTATGGGCAGTGTGCAAGCTTGTTGATTACCAACAGACGTTGAAAATTTCCTTGGATCCAAGATATTCTGAACTTATCGCATATTGTTTTTTATCCAGGTCATTGCACTGTCACGCTGAAATGGGTCTATTTCTTTCCGTATAGCTTTTCATACAGTACGTTACAATCAATTTTATTTGTTCACGATTCGCCTACCATTACAATCTTCTTCTTCATCAATGACACATTTTTAATAATACTCAAATCTGCAAATAACACCTCTTTGTCACTGGTTCCGGTAAATTAAAATTCAACCTACATACTCGTAAAATTCCCTACACAATCAAATTAATAAATAACTTAAAAGGACATGATACTCTCTCATGGTAGTCTTGCAATCGATGCTGATATCTGTTATGAATATGGTTTATGTTTATGCGAATTGGCCAGTCTTAATTCTAAGCAATTGATGAATAATTCCTAGAATACTACTATTGCTACTATAAGGCTAGACGTTCAGTTAAAATATGCTCCATACGAAGCCATTTTCCATATGTCCTAAGCTAAAATTGTTTCGTCCTATACTTAAGGTAAGTCGCATTTGAACAAGGCCTTGCAATTGTTTTGTCAATTCGGTGTTTTACGATTTAATATCACAAGAGATTCATCACGCAAATTTGCACACGTGTGTTTCTTATTTTTTTATGTGAGGATTGGCTTCCGGTTCTAAACCGATTTTTATGGTTGATGTGAGTGGCTGCCCTCGTCTACCAATTGGAAATTTCGCGGGTACGCTCCAGGGGTGGTTTGCTACAATATGATAACAAAGTTAGTTCGTTAAACTTTATTGAGAAGAAAATCAGCGCATTACGGCAGCATTCTGGAGAGTGCAACTTTATGCAGCGATTGAGACATGGCAGCTGCGGATGCGATACTGGAGTTGGAATCTTGCGAAATAGTACGCTGAATTCCTTGCGGTGGCGTCTGTTGAGCACGACGGAATGGATAGCGCCAAGGCGACTTGGGAACATCCTGCTGGAAGCCACGGTTCTCGACACCCACCTTATCATTCGATTGTTCTCGTGTTTTCGATGATAAGCGACTGAAATCGATGGTGTTATTAAACTAGTTATGTGATTATTTCTTAGCACTATAAGAACGTAGCATACCGTAGGATTCGCGATCCGAGCCCAGGAGGATCCTCTAGACCTTTGCTATTACGTTTGCGGTATCGGACATCGTGAGATTCTTCCAATATCACGTGTCTGTCGTAGGGAGTGTCGTAATAGACCTGGAATGGACAAAGCATTTATGACTATGTTGCTCAATAGTCGAAACAGTGTTTGAATTCGTTGCAAACCTCTAGAATCGTCGAGAAGCGATGTGGCCATACCAGGTCAATAATGGATATGATCAGTCCCACCGATAAGCAGAGAATGCCTAAAATTAAGAAATAAATATGTTTTCTCTCTAACCTCAGACGCATTACAAGCTGAAATTCAGTTTTGTTGCAAATTTAAAGACCTCTTATACCTAAGAAAGGTCTATAAATCATTTGAAATTATCCGAAGACTTGTGGAGTGTGTGTGCATTTTGAAGACCTGTTTTTGAGGTTTTGGGACACCTCTAATTGATACAAATTACTTTTATAAGTCGAAAGGGCTACCCACATTAGATCCGTTTGCGTTGCATTGCTAATTCCTAATGGCTAAGCAACTTTGTCGAAGACCGCAAATCGATTCGACTTCTGTGCAGAAAGGGACATAGACTTCTCTGACGTTTGTGAATTGCACAAGTATTAGTGCAGAACTTTGGGTAAATTCAAAGGTTTTTTTGCACTAATACTTATAATTTACCCCGAGGTTCTGCACTAATACTTGTGCATTTCACAAACGTCGGTTTTGATGCGATTCCCATACATTTTGCCATACCAACTTTAAAGATCTCCCGCAAATCCAGATCAAAATCAAATTCGTTTAAATTTGAAACAGTTTTTGGGGACCTCAATGCAGATCGAAAACGCACCACCTTGCTTATTAGTTGACTTATACATTTTATGAATAATCAGCTATAGAAATTTGCCAAAAGGTATAAGGAGATTTCTATCCGTGTAGTGTCTTTTGGTTTTTGGCAACACGTTATTTCTCGATTACTTTTTCGAAGGAACGTATCAGCTTTTGTAAAAAATGCATTTGATCGTCGATTTGGCGTAACTGGTAGCTCGTCCACGCATACTAACACTATTGTCAGGAAGGGGAAATTTACCCCTATTTGATGGTAGTGTTAGCGTGCGTGGGCAAACTACCAGTTACGCCAAATCGACGAAAAAAAAATACATTGTTTACAAAAGCTGAGTGTGGTTTCACTTGCTTGTTCATGGGGATAAGAGATGATTAGAAATCTACGATTAATTATATAGGAAGCACTGTTACAAAATTGTGGAAAATTAATTTAACATTTTAGGAAAATCATACTTGATCAACCTGAACTACCCATAAACGCATAACAGTCCCATTTGAATATAAAATCAAGCAAACATTAGACTGGTATGCTTTTACGGGCAGTGAAGTCTTGAAATGTATGCAGAGGGTTTAATTGAATCTTCGAGATTTTTTGAAAATTTCCTGACCACCCTTCTGTCCTGGAAGAATATCTGAGACATATTTGTAATGTTGAAGAGTTGCAAATCTTCAGATTAATGCTTTATCTACCTGAAGTATTGAAAAAATATCTAGAAAACTTCATTATAACTTATAAAATGTTCAATGCACATCTGCAAAATTCCGTCAACTTTTAGAAAATTCCCTCAATTTCTTCGAAGTTCCCTAAACTTCTTCAAAATTTCATAATCATTTTTTTTCAAGCTGTCTTAATTCTACTAAGATCGCAGAACATTATGAACGTCTCCGAAATTTCGGCAAGATCCTTAAACTTTTCTACGAATATCTTGAATCTTTGTCATTGACGAAAAATGAATAAGATTTTGACAACGGTTTTTTTTTTTTTTTTTTTTTTTTTTTTTTTTTTTTTTTTTTTTTTTTTTTTTTTTTTTTTTTTTTTTTTGACAATAAAGTCTATCAGTGACTATGTGAATAACAATTTGGTCAATATCACGCGAAAGTCTGCCAGTGACTATGACAAATCTCAGCACTGCATCTGGGATGTTCCCTGCAATTAAAAGAAATTCCCAATACAATGGAAGAGCTTTTTTGAAGTAAGTTTTTTGTCAAACTGCTATAAAGTTTGCTGCACTGATATGATGATCTTTGAAATTTGAAGAAGTTTTCTGAACTTTTACGATTTTATATTTAGCTTTTACGAAATTTCCTCAACATCTACAAAAATTTCCAAACTTGAACAAACATGAAGATCCCTGCTTTTTTACAATAATCCATGCACTTCTATGAAGTTTTTTGAAGTCCCTGTAACTGCTATAGGGTGTTTCAGAAAGTATATGCACACTTTCAATTCGCGGACATTTCTACCCCGATGAACTTTATCAGCTGTTCCTCGATGTTTGTTGTTGTTTACTTATTGCTCAACAAATTTGTGTGCGAAAAGTGCTTTTTTTTTTACAAAATCATCAAAATGCGAGGCATTTCCCCGGAAAAGCACAAAAAGATCGGGCACAAATGGTGCACTATTCTTAACCTACCAGTAAGAAAGTTGACGAAAGTAGAGGAACTAAGTTTCGGAGCAGTCCAAACCGCCAGCCAGAAGTTCAGTGAAGAAGTTACCTTCGAGGACACACCGAAATCTGACCGTAAACCGGGGCCGGTGGACCGAAACTTGGACCAGAAGATCACCCAAACTTTCATCAAAGAGTTAAGTCCAACGTGCCAAGACAAGAAACGGGCTGAAAACGTTCAAGATGTAGAAGAAGCCGAAACGGATTCAAGCCGAGGGCTCGAAAGCTATATGATAGCCTGCTGTGTGAAAAATTGGCCTGAGTTATCATGGACGATGAAACATACGTCAAATTTGACTACAAAACACTTCCGGGAGACCAATACTACGCAGTCCGTGATGGTCAGAAAGTTAACGATGCCGATAAGTCAATTTTCACCGAAAAATTTGATTAGACCATGGTTTGGCAAGCGATATGTCCGGAGTGATTTGAAATTTGGGCGTAATTGCTTTTGTAAACAAACACTTCAATCACCGATTTCTCGCGAATAAAAACTCAGGCTAGAAAACTAACAACACACTCATGTAGAGGAATGATTCCTTTGTCATTTGGAATAGTTTGTTTGCGAGATTGAGCTTTTATTCGCAAGAAATCAGCGATTGACATATTTGTTTACAATAGAAATTACGCCCAAATCTCGAAGTTCTCCAGATGTGAGTGTGGCAAATTGTCAAAGCCATTTCAGGGGAAACATCCCTAATAAAAAATTACCATACACGAATGATAACCCAAATGATTGAACTATTCCACAAATGGTTTGGATGATACCCCGAACACGTCGTTAAGCACATTAACCATAACATTTTTATTAGGGATGTCAGAAGGGTCTAACTCGAAACGTAAAACAATGACTTGGATCGTCGGTTTCTTACGAATGACAACACAGCCACTGACAGAACAATGCTTGTTCTATGACTTCTATGAGCTGGTGTAGTTAGATTCCGTGGGTGTGTGGCCATTCAAGAGAAATCGACGTTGAACACTGACATTTATGTTCGGGAGTGTTTGAATCAGCTGCTTCGGCCCATGTTCCGTCAGCAGTACTATTTTGGTCCGATTTGGTGTCAATACATTACTCGAAAGACACCGTAGCTTGGCACAAAGCCAACAATGTGTAATACTTGCCGGAGGCCTGTCCAATCGAAACTTTTTGGGCCCTTTCCAAGGTATATCTATGGAAACACTTTAAGGCAGCGAATTTAATCGAAGAATTTTGAAAAAGACTGAACAAAAGTGGCCAAAATTATCGCCAAGGAATCTGTGCTGAAGCTCATGGGCAGCGTCAGATCAAAAGTTCGCTCCTTGGCATACGATTAAAGGAACTGCGGAATATTTTCATCCAATTGAAAGAGTCATAAACGGTTTGTTCGAAGATTTTGGCGAGCATCACGATCCAAGTGAATGGCGTTTGTTTTTCGACAGCAGTAAACTGAGTTTGAAGGCTGTTTTACTGCACCTAGGAAACAGGAAACCCTCTATATCACTGGCTCATGTTATTAACATGAAGGAATCACTGGCACTGTTACTGGATTTGATTAATTATAACCAACACTCTTGGAAGATTTGCTCCGGATCTTAAGGTTGTTGCTATGTTGACTGGGGTACAAAAAATACATGTGTTTTCTTTGCAAATGGGAGCGGAACACGTACGGAGCATTACGTTCAAAAAGACTGGCCAAAGAGGACAAGTTTGACTCTTGGGAAAGAAAAAGTGAAATGTATTCCTCCCACCGTTACATATAAAACTTGGACTCTTCAAGAATTTTGTGAAAGCGTTACAAAAGAATAGACTCAGTGAATATGGAGAATCAGTATTCCCAAACTTATCGGATTCAAAGATTAAGGAAGGTGTTTATGTGGGCCCTCAGATAAAAAAAAATGATTGGAGAACAACAATTCTTCGAAGTTTTGACTCCTGGCTCCTAGAAGCGTGGAAATAATTTTGATTGGTTGTTGCGAATTTTTTAAGGAACACTAAAAGTGAGGATTATATTGAAATTGTCGGGGATTTGTTGGAAAACTATAGGAAAATAGGTAACAATCTAAACACAACTTTTTAAATAGTCATGTTTTCATGTTCTCAGTTTACAAATCCAAACTCTTCACGAATATAGGTGTGAACATGTCGTTGAAAATCCATTTTCTCCACTCACATTTGGATTTCTTCCCACAGATTCTTGGTGATGAAAGGGATGAGCATGGTGAACGATTCCACCAACAAATGGAGCAAATAGAACGTCGATATCAGGGCTTTTGGGACGAATCATTGCTGGGTGACTACTGTTGGTTTCTAGTGAGGGAAACCAAAACATCGCATAAACAACGAAGCTCAAATTTGAATAATTTTTAAGTTTTTTAGTAAAAATTCTTCAAACCATCATAACTTTCTAATTTTTCAACCGATTTTTACAATTAAGTGCTTATTTTCTTTGTTTCTTTATTATCTTCACGCTCCATTGTTGATTATTTTATTTTGGTATTAATCATATGTTTAGTATGATTTTTTTAAATAAATTAAAAAAAAAAATCAAAACAAAAATTAATTTATTTATAGAGTCAGAACTATTACTCCTACAATGTTTCAATGTTCAGAAAATCGGTAGTAAATCAAATATAGTTTCATTTGATGAAAAAACATTTGATATTGGAGCACACACGTCGGAGATATTTAATTTTAAGTAAATGTGTTTTAGTTCATTTATAAAAAAATAACATTTAGCCATATCTCGAAACCTGTTCATATTTTTTCTGACTGAATTTCTGACATCAGCGTCAAATTTCACATTGGAAACAATAGTCGAGTAATAAAGTTCATCACATTTGATTTATTTTGTAAAGTAGATGGAAAATATATGCAGCAGCTGTTTCCCTTCAGACGTTATCCCCATGCATACCTTTAGGCGTTATCCCCATAGACTATAATCCAGGATCAAGTCCAAATGTGATCCAATATTGAACATTAATATTTTTCTGTTCATTTTGCATGGCTTATAGATGTATTGCAATTGATCGATAGATAAAAGAATAACTGAAACATTACTGCAAAGATAACTTAATGTAATTGAATTTTGAGCTAGTCATAACTTATTTTACAATTGAACATTCAAAACACTTGTCAAAGAGACGTAAGAAGCATATAAAAGAGGAAGGAATTACTACGTGATTCACTAAAAAACAAACTTTGCTGCGCTTCTACGTTTCTTGTTGATTTTCTGCGAAGTTTCACGATGTTTCCTGAACTTTAACGGAATTCCCTTAACTATTTCAGATGCATCGATCAAAAACGAAGTGTTCTGAATTAAAACAAAGTTTCTTAGTTTGTTATGAAGTTCTCTCTAAACAACAACCTTCCCTTAACTTCTACGAAGTTCCCCAAACCACTACAAAGCTCCCACATCTACGAAGTTTCCTAATTTTTTTCCCCTGAAGTCTATGAATTTTAGAAACATCCCTGAACTTCCACGAAGTTCCCCGGAACCGTATATAATTTACTTAAGTTCTTAAGGGATTAGTGTACAAGCCGAAAAAGCGATTTTTTTCGCGAAAATGTGCAGCGAGGTGGCGCTGCAGTCGTCTAAGTGACGGCATCCCCGGCGTGAAGCGTTTTGCAGTCGGAAACGATTTGCAGGCGGAGGTAGTCCTAGAACAAATGGATAAAAGTTTCATAAACTAGAATTTTTAAACTAGTGAAGTACCTGGCCGATTGGACAAATTGGTGTGCGTTTTAAAAAATTGGTCTAATTTTCAGGCAAAAATATCAAATATAATCGTTAATTACAAAAAAAACTTTTAAAGATAAAGATAAAAACTCTGGTACTTCACTAGAAAAAAAAGTATGTAGAACAAGCTACAAAAAATCAAGTCGATTAATCAATTAGAAATATGACTTTTGTTTCAGGTCAACTTGAAAAACATGGTTTCAAGAAAAACGCGATTAAATATAACTTTCATGCCGGGAGCGCGCAGGTAGTCCCATAGTCTCCGCCCCAAAATAATGCGAAAGAAAGTGTTCCCGGGTATAAAACCAATTGTCCCTTATTCTTTAGACTCTAAACTATCATATAAGCCCAAATTTTTTTTTTGATCCCGCTACAGTGGCTTAACCCCTTAAGTTCGCTAAATTTCAACAAAATTCACTAAAGTTCAAAGAAGTTCGCTTAGCTTCTACAAAGTTAGCAGAAGGTAAAAAAGTTTCCTGAAGTTCTACAAAATTTCCTGAAGAAATGTTGAACACTATCCCAGTCACAAATAATAATAATAATAATAATAAAAAAATACTGGTGTTGGCATGTGAAGACAATTCATCCATTTTGTTTTTGTTTTCAAAATATGACTTCCCTGTCTGCAATTTGCTGGACATAATAAGGCATAATACAGGATGGTTGATTACAAGTGTAGGATAAAATAAGACAACAAATTGGAAGGACCTCCGGACAGCAACCCATTACACAAGATGCTATACTTCTATATCTTGAGTTAAAATTTCTTATTGCACAATCCTTCAAACATTCCGGAGTAATTGGCATTAGTTACTAGTATTCTGTTAATCAATCCCTGAAAAACAAGTCTAATGAATGCTTTAGTTAATCCGTAAAGTCCAATCGGTTGGTGGTTCGTTGCAGCTGCTAACGACTGAAAAATCAAACATGCCATAATAATCAATAAAACCAAGGATCATGGTGTCAAGAATCTGATTGATGAGCCACCAGCTAATCAGGCTGGTAGGATCAATCAGATCGCAACACAATTAGTCAGCATCTAATTCTAAATGATCGATATTCAACCTGCAACGAGCACAAGCCAAAAGCACCAGCCCAGCCGGAAACTGATGCGGCCCCCCTCGATGAAGATCGTCAGCGGTCGTTTCGGTAGCATCTGACTGTAGCCAATGCTGGCCCCAATCAACAGGGCTCCGGTGAAAGCCATGGTATATGCTCCATAGCGAGGAACTGCCACCAGCAGCAGATTCATCAACAACCACGAGGCGAACGATGCCCTACGGAAAAGAGGAAAATATTCCAGTTGAGTAGATTATCTTAAGATTCACGTCACATAATCAAATGCCATCAGGAACTTGCCACAGTAGAATACTAGCGTAGTAGCCTGCGGCTCGGTATTGTCCTCCCCAAGCGAAACCTTCCTGTCCCAGGCTGAAATATTCCGCCACGGTCAGAATGGGATATGGCAAGCCACGCTGCAGTGCGTTCTTGTACGAGTTGCCCATATCATTAGCTTGATTCCAGCTAAATCGTTCGTTGAAGTCAATGTCCGGAGTGGACCAATTGCCGACCGGAAGTGCCGCCAACGTGATGTTGATGTGCATCAGTCCAATGTGGGCGCCGAGTCGGGCCGGAAGCTTCTCTCGCGAAAACGCCTTGTACGGCGCGACGATGGTCGATTGGGCCACATGCCAGCCTGAACCGAGGCGGCTTACTGCATAGGAAAAAAAAAAGAGAATGCATACATGAGTCAAAAATAAAACGAGCATAATTGTTTAATGAGTCTTATGCTAGGTTTTTATAACACGTGCTTTTATTACTTGCAATCTAGAGGCATTTTTATCCCCTTTATTATGTAGAGGACGTAAACGAATCCACCTTACACGTTCGGCAAGAGTAGTAAAAATCGTGATTTTATGTTTGAACAATGAACAAGTATCAACTATAAAACCGCTTATGATTCAATTACGATCATGAACATACAGAAGCATCCGACAAAGTAAGACTCATTGCGCGTATAAAAAGCGGAAAAGTGAATGGTTGTTCAGAATTAAATCAGCTGACGGTACTCACCTAAAATGACTAGTCCTACGAATAAGCTAAGCGTTACTGTGGTAAAGGTAGTGAATTTCTGAAATGATAAATAAAAAAACGATTAATTTAGTATGGACATATATATGTAGTTGCAAAGCATTGACAGTTAAAAAATATGCTTTGAGTGTTGTTCACTTTTCCTCTAAGGAAATATAATGCTATAATATACGGATTATACAGCTAATCAAGCCATCGATTGTGAGGGTCTTATCCGAGAAGCACGAGGTTTGTTTTCGAGTTGAATGGATCCATATATAGAACTTGGGTATCTTCTTTCATCGTGGGTGGCAAGCAAATCGACACGATAAAGCACTGATGATTATACAACCCTTAAGGGACCATGCATACATGACGAAGCATTTGAGGGACGAGGGTGAATCTCAGAAGATTTATGCTTCAAACGCATACTTTACACGTCTTCTTGGAACTTACAAGTACCTACATCATAATATTTGATGTCATAATTCCGAAAAATATTATTTATAGTGAAATGAGCAGCTGTACGAACGTTTGGCATAAAGACAAATGTCTTCATGTAAAACGTTCGTGTACTTCGGGGTACCCGGAACATGGCCGGATGTGGCCAATGTGGTCCTGATCACTCGGTTTGACAATAATTTATCTTGTTTTCAATGTTGATGTAAATTGATGTGTTGTGTAATGGATTTTCAGTTCTAGTCAGGGCTGGCCACATTCCCGGAGGTTAACGGAACATGTCCGGATGTGACCAATGCGGTCCTGGGCAGTAAGTATGGCTATCAATGAACTTGTTTTTGACTTCTCATGTGATTTGAGGTGTCACATGTCAAGTCAGAAACTGACCGCTTCCCCGGAGGTACGCAGAACATGGCTTTTGTTGAATTTTCAGGTGATTTGAGGATTCGCATGATGGGTTTGACACGTTTGTTGCTTCAGGCAGTACCTACATCGGTTCGGACACACAAGGTTGTGCGGAGTGAGGAAATGTGGAAGAAACAACGGAGCACATGATCTTCGACTGTCCTAAATTCTAGGCAATGTGGAGAATGTCCAATGTTTCAAGAAGAGAGCACCTGAAATGCCGTCAACCGGGTAGTAGCGCAAATTCTGTCGGAGCTGCAACGTGAATGGAGAGACGAGCAGTGAACTATCAACGCCAGCTAACACTGAGCTTATGAGAAGTGCATGAGTACAGCTGCCTCCCCCACCGTGCCCGGGGGTTCACCTGGGTATAAACTGGTTTACAACACAACAAATCTACCCTTCAGGCCAGGCTTTAGAAGCTCTGTTTTTATCTTACTATAAAAAAACTGAGGCATTTTCCAAGCCGAGCTGAGTCGATTGATATGTGAAACGCGGCCTTCCGGGCCTCGGATCGAAAATCGGTTTCTCCTCGGTGAGAAGGGTAAAAAGGCTGTTTCCGAAACTGAAGACAATAAAGAAGAAATTGAAGAGGGGGAAACTGATTTCAGCGAAGACGAATTGGAAGAAGAAGAAGAAAAAGGTGCAGAAAGCGAGGAATCCAAAGAAGCATCCGAAGGGTTTGGAGGAGAATCAGGGGAGGAAGTGAAACTAAAAAAAAATCTAAGAAGAAGACCAGGTTGTCCAGGAAACTTCCCATTTTCACTAGGAAGCCAGAGGAATGGCGTTTCTTCATAGACTACTACGTAGCGCCCAACGAAGCGTGTGGAAACAGCGACGTGGAGAATCTTGTCCGTCTACAGGAGAGTCTGAAAAGACCAGCATTGGGAAGTGTCCGGGGACAATTACTGTGGCATTTGGGATTCCAGTCTCCACGAGAATCACCCAGCGCAGGAGGCTCGGCCTACACGAACGATGGTTAGCAGCGGCCGAGTCCTCTGGTTTCTGCTATCCTTCATCCTTCTGTTCATTCATATGTTTGACATAACAACGAGAGCTAGGAGAACGGATTATATCTGCAATGCGTTAGGGTGTATCCCACAGTTACTGCTGCCAGAGGCGGAACGGCTGCTACATTATCATCTAGAGAAGGTGAAACAGTTGGATCCTCCGAAAGCCGAGAAAATTGGGGCATTTCTTTCTTCCGGGAAAGCGATAGAGCAACTGTGTGACCATATTGAAGCGGTGGACCTGAAACAGCATCTCATCAATTCGTTACTGGTACAAAGCTTGGTTGAAATTCCTTCCTTCGATAAACGTGAGTGGGTACGCTTTAAAAGTAAAAAGAAGTAGGGAACCTTGAGGACGTTTGTCGATTTTCTCTCGAGAATCTATCGGAGGCATCTGAAGTAAATGCCTGCGTCGATGTGAAAGGAGAAGCTAAGGGCAGTCGTTACGGAAATACACTGTACACAAACATCATCCTCTGATCGAATGAAACCTCGGACCATTCAAAACAAAACATCGAAATCGCTTTTTCGAATGATAGCTGCAACCGGATGACGGTTGTTTTGAAATCAGATGATTTTCCTCTCGAATACAGGATGAAACTTGTTATAAGAAGGGATAGGGCCTTCAGTTGAAATGCGTAATGCTCTCTGCAGAATGACTGTCATCCTAAATGGAAATGCATATGGTATTGGTTCAGCCCCATAACGCAAATCATTCAAAACGATGATGTCAATAATCCTATCAAACGTTCTTTGCTGATCTGAGCTGACAAACGAGGTGGAAGCATATGCATCGCTATCAGAGCTGTTACGAACATAGGTAAAGGATGAAAACCAATGTTTGGCTAGTTCGTGGTGCAGGAGGTTTTCTCCACCACGAACGTTTTTATATCCATGATAGAATGGCTTACTATGGCTATTCAGTATGGAATTGTACATAATCAAATTATAAATCTATTTAAAAGCACTTGCATGTCACACTATTCTTAAATGTTTGTCCTCTGAGTGCAGTATGTTTTATTGCTAATTTTCAAACGAAAATCATCCTGTATTTGGATGACAGTTTGTTTATGTTTATGGATGTTTATGGATGTTTATCATCTGACGACGAATTCAACCATAAGAAAATCATCCGAAATTCGAATGCTTATTGTTAAAGGGCTCGAGCAATGCAATAATCATTCGAAGTATTGCGGATGTTTTGGTTCAGTGTACTAGTAAAAGAGTAGTGAAATATAGAGGAGCGGTCTCTAACCATACACAGTTCGAAAAAAGTAGTGTAAATTTCTGTTCAATATGATGCACATAAAAGGAGCGTCACATCTCATCTACACACTTAAAACAGATTCGCGAGGTCGGTAGAAGAAAATACTGAGCTGACACGGCAATTCATAATTTTACTGATATTTCGGCAACAAAAATATTTTTCCCGAGATTGACCAAAAACATTTCCGAAATTCGCAAAGTAATTCGCTGAGCACAGCAGTAAATAGAAATAATACCGAAATCAGAAATCGCGTTTACTGAGATTTCAGTATTGGCCTCATCCATTGCCGAATTTCGGAAATACAGCTGTCACTTTTTTCCACTCGCCATTTTTCAGCAGATCAGAAGTTAATTGTTGTCTGTGTCTTTTGCATCGAAAACAACTTTAAAAAACCCAAAACGTGGACTAAAACGCTCTAGGAAGCAGGATCCGAACCTACGAAAGATCAGCCCACTCCATGGTATAATCCAATGGATTAATGTAAGATCAAGATTGTTCTGTTTTGTTTGAGTGAAAATAATTCTTGTTTGGTTTTAACTTTCAGTCCGACAAGAGTATGCCGACGTCAGCAATTCCCCAAATAATAGTTGTTGAGGAGGAGTTCGAGGTAGGGGAGTGCTACGTTATTTGGGATAACGTGGCCGTCGGAACAGGACCGGATGTATTGCAGGCGATCGTGCTGCTCTGTAAAGCGTTTACGGTTTACAGAGTAGCATGTTTGCTGTCTGATAAGCTATTTGTTGGCTTTTTTTATCCATGCTGCTATAAAATTAACCAAATGAGCACTACCGGCAACAACTTCATCAACTTCATGTGATGCATTTTTATGGACTTTAATTGATATACAAAATGATAATCCCATTGCAGTGTTTCTTATTTGCAACTATTTGCCACATGCCGTTGTTTTTTTTACTGAGATTTTCGGCAAAAATTGACAACCGTGATTTTTATGATTACCGAGATCCTCGGTAAATTTGCTGTTTGCCGAGATGGTTACCGAGCACTCAGTGGTGCCCATCTCGGAAATTGTTTTGCCGAAATCCGGCGAAAAAAACTTAGTGTGTATGTTTACATTATACATCGTGTAAAGTTCTGAGACATTTCATGAAATGTTGCAAATATTGTATACAAAAGCCCATATTTGTAAACAAAATTGCATACAAGTTCCTCAATTTCGTGAAATTAAATACAAGTTTACGTGAATGCACACACTTAGATTTTTTCGCCGAGATGGGCACCACCGAGCTGTGCAACATATTTTTGAATGACTGCGGAATTCCACTGTGCCTCTTCTGCTGCATCCCTTAGCGACGTCAATTGTGATGAACATACACATTCATCTGCAAGGGATGATCCTCTTCCAAAAGATACCGGTGTCGCTACACTGTGAGAATTGAACGGTGAAGACTAACTTTTTTTTTTTGACGAAGGAGCTTCAATTACGATTGTGATGCAAAGTTAGGAGACAAAGAAGTTCTCTAGCCGCTCACAATTAAATGAACTGCAGTCACCGGAGTTGAAACAGATCCAACGAATTAGTGGTGCCGGTGGTGTAGTGGTAAGCGTGATTTCATCTCACCCCAGCAGGCCTGGGTTCAATCCCAGTCGGAGCCGCCGGGATGTTCTGAGGCATAACATCTCGGGGAGTAAAGCCGTTGGTTCCCGGTTCATGAGTTCATGGGTCGATAGGTAGGGTCCAGGTGTGGGAGCTGCCTCCATAGCGTCGGTAGCATTGGTGCTCAGCACGGAAAACAAGATCGACGCATGTGGCATAACTTGGTCCCTTTACGATGTCAATGTCATTTGCGCAATGACATTGAGACGGGTGGCTAGTGAAAGTTGGCATTTTGTAGGTATTGATATTGATATTTTGCAGCACGAGAACGTGCGAAAGCAAATCGGGGAATACTCGGATGAATA